TGGTGGCTGGCCCCCTACCCACCCCATAACTTAACCCCGTGACAAGGCAAGGTTCCAGAAGCGGTGGGTCAAGGCGACCCCATGTTTCTGCGTGGAAACAAACATGCTGGAGCAGTCCAACTATGGGCCTTGGTAGAAAGAGAACTACAGCTTTGCCCCGGCACTCACCGTGTGGTGGTCTGCATGCAGGTGGGACACAAACACGGCAGCCAGTGTGCCCAGGACCCTGTCCACCTCGTCGCCATAGTGACGGTACAATTGCCCAAAAGTGCCTTCGCCACAGTCCAGTAGCAGGGATTGGTCAGGGCTGCGAAGAAAGGGGCCGATGAACCGCCAGAGGCCAGGGCTCATCCAGTGCTCGCTGCGTCCGCTCCGAGGAGCCTTTTCCTCTCGGGTGGGAAGCAGCTACGGTAATTTCTCTGTGGTACATGACTCCCCCGTCCCCCAACTTTGGGAACTGGAATCAGAGCCAAGATTCAGCCCCAATGGCAATGTGAAGTGTCCGTCCGTTCTATTTGAGAGCATTAGCCACAAGGGAACGCTCGTCCTGGATGGCACACACCATGGCCAGACAGGAAGGAGGAACAGCCTGTGGTGGAGAGGAAGGGCAAACCCCTCCTGTCACAAAGTCCTAACACGGGACATCATTGTGCACCCTTTCTTCTAGGGGACATCTCAGAATACAGGCTCTGCCCAAGTGGGGAAAGCTGCCGCTGAAGGGGCCACTCTCAGGGCTCAGCAACAGACCAGGCCCTGCACCCTGGGAGGCCAGCCCTCCACAGCTGCCCAGCGGCACTGCCCAACGAGCCCTTGTATTTCTGCCACCAGGATGCAGCCTAGAATCACCAAGACTTGGGACTTCCACAGTCACAGATGCGGCACCTTGTCCGTTCCAAAATGCCTCCGATTAGCCTCTCTGCAGATTCCACTGAACAAAACCCTGTTCAGGGAATCCAGTGTGGGGGACTAGGAACAAAGCAGAATGTACAAAACCCGAAATCTACTTTTTAGCATAGAGCAATAACTAGTTAGAGGAACAAGGCAAGAATATTAATGGATCAGTCAAGAAAGCCCAGTTCAAACTTCAAACCTGCCTTAGCCGGGAGGCTGTGGGGGCTCTCGAGCAGGGAGCACTCAGAGCTTCAGTTTCTGAAGACATTAGGGACTAACCGTGGATTTGAGTGACCCCCCAGAAGTCTCTGAGCAGTTGCGTCTAAGTGTCCAGTTATAGTATGCTAGCTACTAAGTGAGCTACTATGTAGCAGCCATTGCTCTGCCGGGGTGCTATAACCCAGCCGCCAAACCGGGCTAGCCAGTTCCATTGCCAATGTGGTCTGGTGGGCGGGGCGGGGCTGTGCTGTGGACGAGCCGCACTACCTGATGTTGACAAGCGTGGCACTGACGTTGCGGATCTTCATTGGGATGGCTGACCCGGTTCCCAGGAAAATGATTTCTGGGTACTGGCTTCTTGGCTCTGGAAAAGACACACGTGAAACATTCTGTCTCTTCTGGTCAAAAGTGAGCTGGCTTCCTGCTGTGAGACAGGTGGTAGCCTAAGTGCAGCTCCCCGCTTGCTCTAGGAACGGGGGAGTCTTGGGAAGAGGCCTGTCCACCCCAGGCCTCTGTGACAAGCCTGTCCCCAATGAGTCAAGGGCTGCCCAGGGAGGAGGAAGGGATGCTGCAGCGCTCTCTCCGAGAGCCGTTACTCTGATGCTTTCCGTCTTCAACGAGACGGGGAAGAAAGGCTGCTTTACCTCACAGGGTCACACCTGACTACATATGTGTTGTATGTCTGTGACTCGTGCTACTTATTTTACTGATGCGTTTACGTGCTGGGCAGGCCCGGCCCCGTTTACAGGTGAGGAAATGGGCTAAGAGGACCGGGACCCCCGAGCTGCAGACCCGGGGTTCTAATTCAATGGCACGGGCTGCTTCTGGAGGCCTCACACGGCCCGAATGGCCCCGTGGGACCTCAGTGGGTTTTCAGACAGACAGGAGACACGCCAGGGAAGGACAACCAGGGCCGCAGCTGGAGCTAAGCTGCTCCTGACTCCGGAGGAGAAGAAGTGGGGCTGGTTGACCTCACACCCTCCTTCTGTCACCAGGAACACCCCCTCAGGGCAGAGGTCAGGTACTCTCTCTGGTGACTTCTCATCACGGGGCACTCTGAGCCCTACAAGGTCAGGGACTTGGCCAATGACCTCCTTAGTCTTAGCAGCAAATCCTGCCCTAGAACTCAGCCCCTGCCAACCACCTTCCACCACCTCACGGGCGCTGCTCCCAGTCATCTCCCTCGAGGTGCAGCTCGGGAAGAAGGCCTGGGGGCCAGCACGGGACATTCTGTCCCAGTTGGTCTGGGATGGGAACAGACGGGGCCATTTTAAAGCCTACTGCACCAGCCCCGCACCTCATGCCAATCAAACGTACAGCCACAGCAGAGACTCGGCAGACAAAGCATGCCTTGCCAGACCCTATGCAGTATCGTGAAGACCCTCTCGGGCGGGCAGTGCCAGGAAGACGGGCTCTCTCATTGCTCACCTGCGGAGGCCGGGCTGTCCTGCACACTCTTCTTATAGTCCTGCACGCTCTCCTGGAAATTGGGGAGCTCTAGGGCCTCAGCGATGAATTCTTCAGGATTGCAAGTAAGGACCGCATCCCTGCAAGGGGAACGCATTTCCGATGACTGGGGTGGTTGGCGGGGTGTTGAGCAAAAACCCACGGTGGCCACCCTGAAGAAACCCCCGGCACAACCTGCAGACAGCGGCTAGGGAGGAGTTCTGTTCTCTCTCAGGACCTCTTCTCTAGGCAGAGGGGCTGCGCGACCTCAGCACTAAGGGCGTGTGAGGCTGGACAATTCGGCTGTCCTGTGCACTGTGGGGTGTGCAGCCGCACCCCGGTTCTACTCACAAGACACCGATAGCACCCGCTCCCACCCCCTCAGTTATGAGAACCAGAGCTGAAGTGCTCATGGGGGGTGGGTCAACCTGGCCTGAGAACAGTGGCTTTTAATGTGCAAACGAAGACCACCTAGAACCTCACTAAAATGCACAGGACCCAAGCAAGCTGGGG